TCGTCATTAAAGTGCAAGCAGGTCAAGCGTATGACAGCTGCAACGTCGGCATGCTTCAGGGAGTTATGGTGGCTCGTGAGTATAAGGCCGAGGATGATAGTAGCCATGCTACTGGCGACAGATAAATAACGTAAAATCTGGGTCACGAAACAGTGCTGCTGACCCGCACCCGTTTCATCGACCGAAGGTATAGCAAGAAACGCCATATTAACCGCAAGGAGGACGGTTGCCTAGACGTATCGTGGTATGCAGATCTTCCTTAAAGCATATCAAGGATCACACGCACCAGTCCGACGTGCTGTTGGCATTCACCCGTAATCTGCCCTATGAGACGCTGCCACGGCTCCCCTAAAGTCAGCTTGTCCACCCAGACCTCACAGAGCGCAGTGTGGTGTTTAATCGGCGCATAGAATAGTAAGAGGTTCATCGTCCTGAATGGAACGGTGCGCTTCTCGTAGAGAAAATCGTATCCGTAAACGGAATCATCCCGACCTGTTCGAGCATCCCGTTGACCGTGATAGTTGAGAATTTGATCGCGTACTGGTCGTTGCAATCGTAGTGCTAAACAATAAAAAAGATGTGATACTCACACAAAGCCATCATGTACACCGCTGAAGGTTAATTCAGTGAAAAGAGATGGCAAATATTGTAGACCAGGCTTGCCTGCCACTTCAGAGGCGCCCAATTCTGAAGTGAGGGCTCTGTTGATGGCGACGCTATTAATAAAGTGCGATGTCTTACTTTCTGCGACGATGATGGTTTTGCTCATGGTTTTCAACTTGTCAATGTTCATGGACACGGTTGAAGTGTCAGACATTGTTACATCTACGGAAAAGAAGAGCTGAGTTCTACATTGCACGATGGCACGGGACGAAAACAAAGAATTTACTTGTTTGAGCAAGCAAGATCCATTTTTGGACTGATTTCCATTGTGCTTTTGTAAGTCGGTGAAGGTCGCTGAAATAATAATGATGGTTCCTAGGAGATATCACTATCGACAATCATCAAAGGATACGAAGAGAATTACTAGTATTCTCCCTGTAGATACCCTCGGGAATAGGTCAGCCTTGCGGCGTAATGTGTTCAAACTGCCAACTTACTGCGAATCAAATCACGGCTCATTTTCCCCCTGAGTTCCGACAGGTAACCATCCAGTATGCACTTGGAGAGCCAGAAGATGCACTCGGCATCGTGGTTGACAAAATAATATCTACAACGAAAGCGAGTATCTCCTTCCCATTCAGGCAGCTCGTACTCCATAATTTCTACGTATAGATGCCAGGACTTGACGCGATCGAAGGATTCCGCCCTTTTCGAGATGGCGTCCTTGAGTATGCTGATGTATCTAGTTACCTTCTCGGTAATCTCTATGTCATATAGCCACTCTTCGGTGATTATTTTCTATAAGAAATCTCAGCTTCAATGCCACAATCAAACTGGAAAGACGCACATCGTGATCGTGATAAAAATACGGTTTACCGTCTGAATGTGTATGCTTCGTCCAACCCACAGGCAGAACTTCTTCCTCATCACTGCGGACGATGAGTCAACATTCTGACAGCCTCGTGAGATGATACACGTACGTTTGAGGCGAGATATATGTGTTGAAGTCAGTTTGCATTGCAGGTACTGTGAATTTGGCTCGGGTAAATTCGTCTCTGAACACTGCGATGTTAATTATCATTAGGCGGAGCAAAAAGAAAGCACTGATATGAGCGTCCTCCTACCGTAGTGTCTAATCCCAGACGGAAGCCACTCTATGAACTCTTTCTCGTCATTGGACCAGTCGTACGGCTCCCTAATTATGGCTTCCGATTCGCTAGACTCCGCAATTTGGCTGGAGCACTGTCTGCCTTCAGCGCCTAAGAATCGTGGACGTAACAACTGAAAGACACGTGCGGCGTTGCTCGTAAGTGCAAAATCCGATCCGTGAAGGCGCAGTAGAGATTGGCACACTTGTAGGTGGGGTGCATGGTATAATAATCTCTGAGACCTTCACAGCACCACTATATCAACATGTGGTCGGGGCCCAACTAAGGCAAACGGCAGCGAAGATCCATCGGTGAATTGGTGGCCAGTGACTTTGAGGATGATACGATTGAGGACAGGCCGATTTCGACGAGGCGCGCTCTGGGATGCTTGCCGAGAAGGAGAACTCAATATCCAGACCTTCCATACCGGGCTCGGTAGACGATGCCACTTGGTAGCTAAGCTCAGCAAAGGCTGAAGCGCTAGGCATGGCGATGGAAAAGAGGAGAGCGACATCTTCCTAGTTATGGATTCTGAAAGCTGTTGAATGCGATGACCATCTAAAAGTAATCTTCGGAAGGAATATCCGGTAAGCTTTCCCATTCGTCGATGAAAAATTGAAGCTGTTCGAAGACGTATAAGGAGCCAAATATAACGAGATCTAGTACGGCTTGAGTGCAAGCATTGTTTGAAGACTGAAATCGGAGATCTATGGAGACTCGATCACTTGATAGAAGACTAGGGTAGACTGTAGTGTGTCCACAGCGGACAAAGATGGTAAAGGAAGATAGCTAGCTGCGACAGTGAATATCGGGATTCAGCGGTGGGTAGTGTCAGGTGGATAATGATCTAGGTCTGAGGGCTATGGTTCGAAGATAGCGTCCATCAGACCATCCCTCCCACACTCAAAGAGAAGCCATGGGAACAAAAGCCAATCAGAAAGTGAAAGAAGCGTAGGTTCGTATTTCGGGGTAGAAGGCGGTGAAAGCATTGCGACATTATGGGTGAGATAGGCAGGGATAGACAGCACAGCGTCTGTTTCGTTTCTAATCCAATCTTTTGAAGATCCGTGAGGCTGATGCCAACAGAAGTGTTAGCAGAGCATCATAAAACGAGCTTAGACAACACATACGTTGCTGTTAGTAATATCTCACTCAAGATATCAATTGCTCTTCAGAGGGCCAACGTTTACTTGCAGAAGTATAACATCAACAATGGCGTCGCTCTTGGCTTCCTCTTCATGACGCTAAGGTGCTCTTAATAGTTCCCGGCCATACAAACACAGTACAAACACCTGCAATAGCTCCTCCTCACTGGATATGCAGCTCTCTGAGCCTGTCAAAATGAGACCTCATTTGTCTTTGTAACAGACGCATCGCAGGAATTGGGTGGCGTAGAAATGGGAAAATAAGGTGTACGTTCGCGCCAGGACGTGGCCCATGATAACGGTGGCCATGACAGCAGCGTTGATTACTTTCAATCGCATGCAGATGAGTGAGTAGCATCCTCTCGAGTTATGCTACACCAATTGTTCTGTGAAGTTGTTTGTCGCCTAGTGTGACGACAGTGAACTAAAATCTCTCAAGAAGCAAACAAGCGTACCACACCGTAGTACCGTACTGCGAGTACAAAAACAAAGGATTTATGGCTTTATTTATAGGTTTTAAAATCGTCGTCGTTGATGTTGGTAGTACTACAGCAACTCGGGAGGAATAATTGAGGACAGTCGAGGATCATCAGGAATATTCTGACGTCGTCGCTATTCCCGTGAGTGACGGCCGTCGTTGCAGCTCTGCATACCGTACGATAAGATGAGCTACAATCTGTTGATGGGAGACAAGTGAGCACAGGATTGACGTGCACGTGTGAGGCTCGGCCCGGTTCAACGTGCACGGACCACCGCGTTACTCCGATCTGCCAGCACGCTCTCTTTGCTTCCCTCATTTTTTTTTTGCTCTGCCTAGTCGGCACCTAGGGAATGCGGTATAAACATGCATTTTTCATCACTTCTGGTCAGCATCTCGGCCCTTCGCTTGGCTGAGTGTCTGATTTCGACGTACCGGTCAAAAATCATCTGCCTCCTCGTTGCTATTATTTTCGCCTTTTCCATCGATATAGCAGCAGCTCTGGGGTTGTGCTGTAATGGAGTGAACGAAGAGGTGACGAAGAGGCTCTATTACCTGCAGGACAGGATGTATGCTGGTTACTGTTTTTTGAAGTAAGGTGTATTTCTAAGTCCTACAGTCTCGTTAGCTGAAAGGTCGTGCTCTCTCAGATTGACGATGAAGTCGCTTTATTTAAATCACGTATTCCATTCTATCAACGTATGGCAGCCAATCCAACTTGGACTGGCTATACCTTATCCCAAGACCCTCTATTATGCCTTACCTAGCATGTGCGCAGTAACTTCCCGCCTGCGAGCCAGGAAAGCATCTACAGTTCTTCAAGCCGTTGCCGTGGAATACATGCTACCATCCAACCCGTTACGACGTGTATGCACGTGTACCGACAGAGCTACGCGACTACTCTGGTACCCATCGTAAAGCTTACAGTCCTATGATCTTCAAGTGTGTTCAGGAGAATTTTCACCATTCTGAGCTCATTAGGGCTGATACAAAAAACAATTGGGCTTACTGTATTCTTGGGGGCGAAGGACAGCCCGGTCGGGAAGAAGGCGAGGACGAAGGGGCCGACGGCCTGAATCCCCTTCACAGGGTCTTCGTCGCAAGTGTTTTCAGTCCTGATGAAGGTGAGGAAGACAACAATTTCCATGCTGATTCTACATACCTATCCAGATATTGGACTGTCAAAGAAATTTCGGACTCGTCAGAGTTGAATACGACATGTTTCGAGAGTACGCAATCGCTTCCATTCTCAAGTATTAATCTACATGTATCATTCCGGGGTCGTTCCGAAGCATTTCACTGGCATAGAACAACCGACAACATCGGCCCTGTCAACCCGTTAGGCTGGGGATCAGTGCTGTGTGACGAATATATTGTTGGTAGCCCTTGCGCCAGTGTGCGCCATGCTTCATATCTCTCCCCAGCCGGGCAGTAGCGAAGCTACACGAGTTTTTAAATGGATATAAACTCGGTTCCAGATTAAGAGGCGTTCTCTGTTGGACGGAATGGTAAAATTCTGCATCATGTCTGGTTTTCCAAGCTCATTTATTGACCTTTCTGTTGTAGGGGATTTTCATCAACGACGTACCTTGGAGCTATCCTTATTAGTTCCAGCATTATAATGTATCTCTGGTAGTATGTCGGTTAGTACACGCGCCTGTTATTTGGAGATTATATTCATGAACGCGCGAAAGCTGGGTTCGACTCCCAGCCAGAGAGTCAAGTTGAAAGAAGACTTTTTTTTTGGACTTGCAGTCTCCGGCTGAGAATTGAGAGTCGACTGGCTCGACTCACGGCCCAGAGTCAGCTGCTCGAAAATGCGCATTGCGCTCAAGCTATTCTATGCCGTAACTACTAACGCACGAAACTTCTGGGGAGGTAAGTAACCATTTGTTACGGACCTCTGCCATGGTGGGCAGATTCACAATAAAAATTCTGATAGTAAAGAGTCATCTCCTATATCAAAACCTAGGTTTTCCCAGTGTGCACCGCCCTGGTAACAAGTTACTAGTATGCAAGTTTTCTTCAGCCCTGTTGGTATGTGATGTACTGTAATGCTATGTGCTAGGATATGGTGGGATAATGCTATGTGTCTGTATCTTGTCCTTTTTTTGTTCTACATTCCAAAGAGTAAAGTGTTATGTGCACACAACAGACAACCAATCTAAAATCCAATCAGACCTAGAATTCGTGATTGTATGAAGAAACAATGATGTATAAGAGACCTTGACAGGAAGGAATAGATTTCTCGCATGAATGAATGTGTTATCTTGTTAGCTCAAGCCATTACTCAGCCAGGCTCAATGACTAAAGTGTCCTAGTTTTTCTGTGGACCTCATCCATGAGAAAGGGACATCATTGATGCCTGTACATGGTGTAGATGCGGGGCATCCATTAACACTAATCTTGTAATAATGAGTTAGTGAAAGGCTGCTCCATTAGGAGACAGCCTCACTGGTATGACTCACAATGCACACAAGGGAATGGGAACAGGGTATATTGCAGGTAGACAATGCATACATATGGTAAGTATGGAGGGCTGGGGTAAAATGGTGAGAAAAAAAGAGAGAGGAAATGACTATGTACTAACTACTGTATATATAATCTATATATACATCTGCCCCTTGATCTGGTCCTGCAGTGCACGGGTGCATCAATGTAAGCTGTGCTTAGTTAGGCAGAAGCTACACAGCATGGAGTTAAAAAATACCATAGTTAGTAAAACATCTATGTACAAAACTATAGGACATACAAAAGCACATATGAAATGACACATACAGGAATAAGTATGAAAGAAAAACATGGAAAGCTTCTGTCCCAACTGAGTCCCTACTGGCAATATTGTAAACAATCCCTGTGCAAGTTGCACAATAAGAATTGTTTACAGGTCTGTGGGATGTGCTTGTAAACAACCACAGAACCTATTAAACCTCTAGGCCTGCTTCACATGTTCCATCATGTGATACAGGATGTCCAGTGGTGCCACTGGCATGCTTCTTTGTGCCCACCTCTCTGTTCATTCCTGCCCTTCTTGTCATCATTGCTGTCACACCCCTGCTATTCCATCCATGACCTCATAAGATATGTGGTGTTCCTGAACTCACCTCTGATCTCTTCTCTTCTGCCAATCTTGATCGGACCCCTTTTGAATGCCTTCCTTTGTGCCTTAATTTGTTTCTCCTTCTGCCAGCTCTTAATTGTTTTGCTCCTTCCTGTTATGATTTATTCAAATTTTTCCATTTTCTAGTCTTATCTCATCTTATTGCACTTCTTATCGCTGCATGAACACCACATCAACCTTCAATAATGACAAACACGTGTTCCTCACACCATGAGCCATGGTTGTCACACCAACACCTGTTGTTCTACACATGGCTCTCTTTGATCCAATCTTCACATCTTTTTCATAGCTATTATTAGGCCCAACATTTTAGTATATAAGTAGGGCCATTCTCTCTGTAAAACCTCAGCTTTGAGCTAAGGTTTAACATCACATAAATCTTACTTGTCTGCTCACTCACTGAGAGTCTTCCTGTAAGCACCTCTCTTACCACCTTGAGATTTCCCAGAGATTGCCTGAGTGATTGTCCAAACGCAAGACAGCTCAGTGATTTTCTTATCTTGAGTCACATGAGAGTTGGGCCCTAACAATTAGCTCGAAGCTTCCCTTTTTTCCTTCATGCCAAGACATAGGAAAACCTATGCCTATTGAAATCACCCCCAACATCAACCACATAACCAGAGATGTAGCAGCTGGCACCTTTGTCGCTGTTGCTCTTATTGCAGGAACAGCAATCTTTATTGCTGTCATTTTTCATAGACACAGAGACTGGTTCAAACAAAACAGACTAGCCCCCAGAAGACCTTTGACCTACCCTCCACCTCCCTTACCATGCTTCTACATCCCACCCTACAATGGTCAAATTCAGCCCATTTCAATGTACTACCTGCAATACAATGGAGATCAATTCTACACACTCTCCGCATCACTGCATAGGGAGAATTGGTCAGATGCCCCCAGCCCAGAATCCAATATCGAAAGAAGAGGAAGAAGAAGCCTGAGCCCCATCACTGGGCCCTCTGGTACTAGGCACTCCTCTAGGACAATAACTCCTGCTTCCTCTTTCGAGGGAGACATCACTGAACTTATCTGAACCTATCATGGGATTGGAACGGATGAGCACAAGTGACAACTACTGGGCCAGGATGGCAGCCAAAGAAATGTGACCCCATCCCCTGAGCCCTGCCCAGATAGTAACACCCTCCCCTGCCAGACACTATGGGTTGCGAACCCTACTGACAGAAGAAGTGAGGCCACCAGCCCCACATCCTCTAACTCGACCAGCCTCAACACAAGAATCCAGCGCTCCATGGAGCCCTACCCATGCCTCTACCATACCCCCAGCCAAATGTATGGACCCCTTACACCTTCACCGCCAGCTTCAAGAGCCTCCCCCTCCCCCTCCTCTGAACCTGGAACCTCAAGGGTTTCCAAACCTGATAAACCTTGAGATGAATGAGGAAGAACAAGAACTACAACAACAATGGGACACAGAAGACAAAGAGGAAGTCTGGAGAGCCCTCGCACCATCACCATCCACTCGACCAGTGAGTCAGATGACCCAACCCCAGTCCCACCCATGCCCCAAGTCCTGGCACACATTCTCGCAGCCAACATCCAACAAGAATGACTTCAGATCCATGAGCATGGGTGACCTAGCTACCTATGACAATGACAACCTGGAGAATCTATGGATCACTACGAGAGAAGGAGAACAGAGGATGATCTGGACCAGCTGCCACAATCCCTTCAGATCGAGGCATGACTGGCAGAACGAGAACAAGAATGAGAGGAATCCCCATTCTACATTGGAGGGGACAATAGGGTGTGGCCTGAGCTATCCTAGAACCAGCACATCATGATGGGACCCTACCACGCTGCAGCATGGAACCATCGATGATGGGACTACCTGAAGCAAGGAGGAACTGATGAGACAGTGGAGGAGCACTGACAAAACCATCCCAGCTATGAGGGGGCCACTGACCAGCAGTGTGCCTGATACTATGGTCCCCGACCAGGGGTATACATTTTAGGGCTACAACCCAGAACTGAGGAAGAGCACCAAGAGCTCTTCAGAGCTTTGGAAGGTATACTCCGAGACTGGAGAAGGGACAAACAAGACCAATTGGAGCTTGCCCAGGTACAGTTGGCCCAAGCCACTACCTGACTCCCCTCCCCAGGAATGGCGCAACCACAGGAACCCATGGAAAGGGAAGAGTAAGCTCCTCGCAGGAGCAGGAGAGGCAGAATCCAGCGCCCAAGCCCAGCTAGAAGCAGAGCAAAGGTGATTGGATGCGGAGGCAGCAGAACAGCGCCAACAAGTGGTGGCGCTGGAGTGGCAGCAAGCCCAAGACAAGATATGAGCGAAACTTGCTACTGCAAGAAAGTACACTGCTGACAATAACATCCTGCTTCCCAGAGAGTTCCAAGAACCTGACCCGCCAAGAGGATGGCCCCTCCAACCAGCTCCAAGGAGATATGGCAGTCCAACCCATCAAACAGACTGATGGTCAGTTCCCTGCCCACCCCCGAAGTGTATGACTCACTGGACCCCCCATACTGGCAGGAATGCCAAAGAAACCGTGCCCTGGCTGCAGGTCAAACCCACTCTGATTCATCTTCTGGCCAAGTTCAGTGGGAGACATGATGACATTCATTGATTCACCAGAGCCTGCGAAGAATACTTCTCGATTTTCAAATCATACTATTCTACACACACGAATAAGATTTTTTTTGCCATCTCCCTCTTCGACAAGAAACCCCGGGAATGGTGGTTCCACTATAAGCTCCAGTTTTGGAGTGAGGTAAATGACTACTACTGCTACCCTTCCTGGGATGACTTCAAGGTGGCCCTCCAAGTTGAATATGGAGACCCAGCTCTACAAGAAGTCATGGAACGCCAAATGATGAATTTAACCATGACTGGGCCAGCTCCTGCCTACTTCCACCAACTTGAAGAGCTCACCTGCCAAGCCAACCAACTCCATGACATCAGACCACAAAGCACCCTAGTCTGAGCAGTCTGACGAGAGGTCCCTGCCTCCTACACCGACTCCATTGCCAACCTGGGTGTCATGATCCCACAGACATATGCAGATTGGAAATGACAAATCTGTAGCATCTACAAGAAGAAGACCCGAAAGGAGGCATTCAACAAGATTGGCCAAGTCGAGAAACCAAAACACCATGCCAGCAGCAGACAAAAGTTCAACGCTGGCGTGACAAGTTCACTGGCCGAAAAACCAGCTGCCAAGTCAACATCAGGGTGGACCACATATGGAGGAGCAGGATGTTAGGGCCGACTCTCATGTGACTCGTAGTTGGACAATTGGTAAGCTGTCTCACGTTCGGACAATCACTTTGGCCAATGCCTCGGATGACTTCGAGGTGATGAAAGAGGCGCTTACAGAGAGGCTCTCGGCAAGTGAGCAGACAAGTAAGATTTATGTGAAGGTAAACCTTAGCTTGAAGCTGAGGTTGTACAGTAAATCGTAGTTACTTAAATACTAAGTCGTGAGTACTATTATTAGATATGAAGTTTTGTCGAAGTCAAAAGGCGTGCTGGTCGGATGACGAGCATGCAATATCATGCATTGTCCATCATGAAAGATTTGTCGAAGTTGTTGGTGGTGATACGGTGGTGATAATGCATAAGCAT